GAGTCCCATCCTAGTGATTTTCAAGCTCTGAAGCACAAAGAGGAAAGCCAGAGTCCTGCTAATGTTTAGATATGTCCAGTAAAATCAACCTCTAATTTCAAAGGTAAGTATAAGTAAAACCTGACTCTCTCACCATCTGCAGCTGAGCTGTCAGGTGCCAAGATTGAACCTGTTGTGAAGCTTATTGGGAGGAAGGCCATTATACAGTGCAATCTTAATGGGATAGCAGACTCATTCACCAAAAGAGCAAGTACCCAAGGTGGAGATTCATAGTGTTGTAACTACACCTAACGATGTGGCTCCTTCTTCACAGCTGTGGCATCCACCAGTTGACATTCGTCATCTAGATCAGGAGCAACAAGAGGTTGTTAAACAGATGTTGTATGAGGAGTCGGCAGCTTTCGCAAGGGATAGTAATGATGTGGGGTGCATAAACCTTAAAGATAGCATACCAGTACAACATGCATATTCATCAGTGCCAAAACCATTGCTCAAGGAAGTTAAGGAGTATATCCTGGACCTTTTGACAAAGGGGTGGATAGTTAAATCCAAGTCTCCATACTCAGCTCCCATTGTTTGTGTCCGTAAGAAGGACGGAACTAGCGGATTATGGAGGAGATGTTGGATACCCTCAGAGATGAGTGTTGTATCCCTTACCTTGATGATATTCTTTGTTATGCCAAATCCTTTGATAAGCATGTGGAAGGGGTCCGAAAAGTCCTCAAGGCACTCCAGCTCCATGGAGTAAAACTCAGACCAGAGAAGTGTAATCTCTTCAAGCAAAAGGTCAGGTATGTGGGCCGCCTGGTGTGCGTTGATGGGGTGAGGATAGACCCCAAGGATTTGGATGCCATACTGAGCCTGATGAACAAAATACCACAGACAGTTGGTGACGTAAGGAGACTCCTGGGGTTTCTTGGCTACTACGGATCCTATATTCAGGACTTTTCGTGGATAGCCAGACCCCTCTACCAGCTGCTTCAAGGGAGGGCAGGGGCATCACAAGTCCAGTCAGCCATGAGAAAGACAAAAGGGCAACAGCTGGCCTCTAAAATCCCTGTAGAGTGGACAAGCGAACAGAAGGCAGCACTAGAACAACTTCTTGGTATGCTAGTAGCACCTCCAGTGTTGGCTTATCCTGACTTCAGCTTACCCTTCATACTGCATACTGAAGCACCAGAGGACGGTCTCGGGGCTGTCCTGTACCATCAGGTTGGGGAGCTGAGGGTGATTGGGTATGGGTCAAGAACGTTGACACCAGCAGAAAAAAATTATAACCTGCATAATGGCAAACTTGAGTTCTTGGCTTTGAAATTGGCAATATGTGAAAAGTTTCGGGATTACTTGTTCTATGCCCCACATTTGTATATGGACAATAATCCCCTAACTTATGTAATGAGCACTCCCAAACTCAATGCCGTTGGTCATCACTGGGTGGGGAAATTGGCAGACTTTCGGTTTGACATGAAATACAGACGTGCGTGCAACCTGGCAAGGGAGTAGAGCTGCTGAGCAGAAGGATGTGGCATGGATCGCTGCTCCTGACATGTCCTCCAAGGACACCCACCCACCGCTGTGTACGACTCTAGTGTCCATTAGTCATGATGATCTAGTGAAAGCACAGAGGGAAGATGACTCAATTGGACAGATAATAACACTGAAAGAGACAAACACAGCTCTCACAAGTGATTTGAGAAACAGAGTGAGTGGGGCCACCAGGAAACTCTTGTATGAGTGGAGGAGACTACAACTGGAAAATGGGATTCTTTGAAGACGAACCAGGGAGCGGAAACAACTTGTTCTACCTGCCAAGTACAAACAAGTTGTGACGAAACATCTCCATGATGACATGGCACATGTCAGCACTGAACGAGTCCTCCACTTGGCAAGAGAGAGATTCTACTGGCCATATATGAAGAAAGAGATCAAGGCCTATGTTACCCAGAAGTGCCCATGTATCACTCAGAATTCGTGTCACCCACATTCGTGCTCCACTGGGTAGTATCACCTCTAGTTCACCTCTTGAACTTGTTTTTATTGATTTCTTACATCTAGAGTGCAACCGAGGAAGGTATGAATATATATTAGTGGTGGTGGACCATTTTACAAGATGAGAAATGTTGTGAGAAATCTTGGTGAGCGTGGAGGTCCTGGAAAACTAAGATCCTACTGGGAAACAATCATATATGTGGTAAAAGAACAAGTAGCAGACTGTTCAGTTTAAAAACCCACCTTGTTGTTAACTGTCAACAGGTCAGTAACATGATTGGAAGATGAGGAGGCGTTCACCACTCTGTGAAAGACTGATGAAGCAAATAGTGCAACAATTCAAGAATAACGTTTCTCAACATAAAATAGCAAAGAACTTTTGTTTTTCATCACTTGCGGTACATAATAACATTAAAGGATTCCAAGAATCTGGAGAAATCTCTGTATCCAGAAACACTGCCACCTTCTCTGGGCCTGAGCTCATTTAAAATGGACTGAGGGGAAGTGGAAAAGTGTCCTATGGTCAAACAAATCAACATTTGACATTCCTTTTGGAAATCATGGACACTGTGTCCTCTGGGCTAAAGACCACTCAGCTTGTTATCATTTCAGAGTTCAAAAGCCAGTATTCATGATGGCATGGGGTGCATGGCATGGATGACTGGCACATCTGTGAAGGCACCATTAATGCTGAATGATATATACATGTTTTGACAACATATGCAGCCATCCAGATGACATCTTTTTCAGGGAAGGCCTTGATGATTTTAGCAAGACAATGTCAAACCACATTCTGCATGTTTTTCAACAGCATTCCTCCATATTAAAAGAGTGTGGGTGCTAAACTGACCTGCCTGCAAGAAGAGGTGATGAACACAGTGATAAACATGCCCCCGTCCCAACTTTTTTTGAAACATGTTATTGGCATCAAATTCAAAATGGGCATATATTTATCTCAGTTTCAACATTTGATATGTTGTCTTTGTAGTATTTTCCTTTAAAAATATGGTTTAAATGATTTGCATTCTTTTTTTACTTATATTCTGCACAGCGTCCCAACTTTTTTGGAAATAGGGTTGTACTTTAATGCGTAATTTAATGCACTTTACTGTTTGAAATACTTTTGGAAATGAATTTTTGTTCCACTATTTTATTTAAGTATTAGCAGATGATCCTTTAACACGGCAAAATTGAGTGCTGTAGGTATTGATACACTGTGAAAATGCAGTTATGATCTGATATCTTGTTTATTTGAAATATATTTGGTGTTAGCACTGTCTTGCTGCATACGTACATGGTTCTTTTAAAGTCAGTACCATTCATTCAGTTCTTGTATATTTAGATGTATTTGTAACTTTTGTTAAAAATACATACAACTGAAAAAATGTAATACCAAATGCAAATAAATGCATTAAAAAATGTTATACACATTTAAGCCTTTTTTATATTGCAAAATTAGGTAAACACATTTGGAATATATTTTTTTGTCCGTATGGATTGTATCTTTGCTGTCAAACCAAACTGTATAATGAACAGTTTTTGACTAGTAAAGAAGAGATTCCTTATTAGGATAAACAGCTTAGATGATTGATGAGTGAGAGAAAAATTTGACCTGAGCGACTTGTATCTTGTATCTGTTTTAAATGCAGGAATGGGTGAATTTACACTTGCAGTTTTATATGGTTTGGCCTAATCCAGATATCATCCTGATAAGGGTCCCCACTTCTATTACCCTATATCTAGGGTAAGCGGAAAATTGTATAAATTGATTTTTTTGCACAACAATTCCTTTAATTTGTAGTTAATTAAAGTGGAAAATCAATCTGTTTAGGCCTGTATATTTTCAAATGTATACAAATGTCATAGATACAAGTTCTCTTTGCAGTTTCCCTGTTTATCTCCATTAACTGCTTTCTTTTCAGTCTGTTAGCTTTTTTTTGTATTTAATTTTTTTGTTACATTGTATCATTTTAATTTGGCTCTGTCTGTTTTGTGCTGCAACAGTTAAAGTGCACAAAATGCAAGTGGGTGATGGTTGACTGGTCAGGAATTTAACAGGTAAGTGTTCAGTTACTTTGACATTTGCCTCCATTAATGCCAACAGGCTAACATTTGAATTAAAGCAACCAGGCCACTGATGCCTGGCCCCACATATTAAATATGCGTTCAGTGGTCAGTACCAATGTGTATTATCAAATGCACTGCAAAGCTATTCCTTTGTTACTAGCAGAAGTTTGCAGTACTGGAATTATATTAACATCTACCATGAGCCAAATGTTAAAACTGGAAGATTATGTGAACAGTACTGCATGCTCTGATGTTGCATTCCATTGTTTTAATGTGGTCAATCGTAAGAATGAACCAAACCAGAGTTCACATGGAAGTGGACAGAGACCCGTGGTGTTTGGTTCAGTTCTTTGGTCTGAGTGCAGGTGGAGTGTTCACACCTGTCTAAATAAATGGTGCTAAAGAAAAAATCTGCGTGGTCTTCACCAGACTTGGTAGATGTGCAAATGTCCTTAGACTTAATCAGTTCTGTCAACCTCTAGCCCTTCATCAGTGGTTAGTTTCTGGCATACCATTATAAATTAGATTACTATATACACTGTTTTCTGCCAGCCCTTCAGACGTCATCTTAGAATTTATCACCTATAACACAAAAATTTTTACATTTTTAAAATCTATTGTTAATACTTTATATGTCTCTTTATGGTTCCTTTGAAGCCAAAACTATCCAGACACCTGCTCTAATTCAAGGCACACCTATTGCTGACATGCATTGTGCTGTTTGCAAGCTAGAACTAAGTACTGAATGCCATTCCCTGTAGCAGTGTTCCAAGATTTAGTGCAAAGCCGTCTCAGAAGAGTAGAGGACAAACTCCCTGTAAATAGCTTTTAAAGGAAAGGTTGGAAGCTCTTACAGAAGTTGTTGCACACTTCACATGTGAAATCCATGTGAGTTTTGTATAAGGGAGAGCAGGTGTCTAGATATTTTTGGACACAGAGTGTACCTTTTGTTCTTTTCATAAACATTTTCCAAATGCATGTGATCATTCTCGGTTTCTGGAAATCAGGAAAAGGGTTTCTTCTCACAGATCCAATAAAGGACATCTTGGCATGGTTTATCATTCCATCTTTTCCCAGCTTCAGACCTCGTTACAACACAGTTCTGTGGGCCTTTCCGTCTACCATTATTGGGTTGACCACTCATCCAGTATCTGAAATAGCACAGGTAACATACATAAATAACAGGGCATACACATAATGATACTGATTGTACATTGTAATCATTGGGCAATATTAATGAGGCCTAGTTTACCATTATTCCTGAATGAGAGAAGTCAGCTAGGTAACATTATCAAAATAATAACGAATCTCCTGACTTTTGGCTGCAAATGTGACTGAACAGACCAACTATGGTTTGTGAAAAGAAAAGAAGGTTAGATATGGAACAAAATCTTTGTGGAGCAGGCATTTCATTACAGTATGGTGCACTCATCTGATGTAACCCATTCAACCTTCAGAGGTCGATGATGTTGTAGGCGACATACATAAGAAACCAAATATGTTGGGAATGCTGTAAGCTAGAGAATTACTCTTTTTTGCCCAGAAGGGTAGCGTTATGCCGTTTCAATGAGGGCCCCAGTGCAATCGTCACCTTTTCAGAAGCTTTGTTATGCAGCCTTGAACTCTACAATTACAGACTGTAGTCCATCTGTTTCTCTGCATACTTTGTTAGCCCCCTTTTACCCTGTTCTTCAGTGGTCAGGACCCCCATGGACCCTCACAGAGCAGGTACTATTTGGGTGGTTCTCAGCACTGCAGTAACGTTGACGTGGTGGTGGTGTGTTAGTGTGTGTTGTCCTGGTACGGGTGGATCAGACACAGCAGTGCTGCTGGAGGTTTTAAACACTGTGTCCACTCACTGTCCACTCTATTAGACACTCCTGCCTTGTCAGCCCACCTTGTAGATGTAAAGTCAGAGACTGTAGCTCATCTGCTGCTGCACAGTTTGTGTTGGTCATCCTCTAGTCCTTCATCAGTGGTCACTGCTGTGTCTGATCCACTCGTACCAGCACAACACACATTAACACCACCACCACATCAGTGTTACTTCAGTGCTGAGAATGATCCACCACCCAAATAGTACCTGCCCTGTGAGGGTCCATGGGGGTCCTGACCATTCTTTTCATAATATATATATATAATTAGGGAAGCACTCAAAATAATAGTGCTTTTTGAGAGTGTACGGAGATGAGGCATGGGGACAAATTCCTTTTTTTCACACAGAGGGTTATTTCTGCTTTCCTAAAATGGCATCACAGTGATGATATACCAGGGAAAAGGCACTTGAACTTATTCCTGAAAGTGCAAATGATGGGAGGTGTGAAGCAGGAAGTTTTTTTTCCATGCATGTAAAACTAATGTTTGTTGTAAATGAAAACAGATGGACTTTTCTTGAAAAACTAGTTCTTGATGTATATTGGTTAGAATGTTCATTTTATTTCCCGATTGCCAAGACTTGGGAGAACAATTTTCCGATGCCAAAAACTTGTTCATTGTTGTTCTCCCTGTAATTTAAGTCATGTGAGATTCAATTTCCATTTTATTTCTTCTTTTGTATTTATTGTCATATAACTATTTATACATTTGATAACACTTTATTTTGAGTGGTCCTTTGTAGATGATTAATAAACTCTTAACAGATTATCAGTAACACATCAACAACATATTGGTGAAGTAGCAGTAGTGAAGCATCTGAATACATTGAGATAAATATCTTGTTGATGTTCTGTTGATACATTGCTTACATTAAGTAGATGTGTTGTTGATGTGTTACATGAAGTAGACTTTATATGGTACTTCTATTAAGCAAAACCTAACCATACCCAACCTTACCCTAACCTAACCTCAACTCACAATCTAACCCTCACCCTGGCCTTAATCCTAACTTTAACCTCAACCCAAAACCTAATCCTAACTCTCACTCTGGCCCTAATGCTAATCTTAATCTTAACCTCAACCCAAAACCTAATCCTTACCCCCACCCTGGCCCTAATCCTAACCCTAATTTTAACCTCAAGCCAAAACCTAATCTTAACCCTCACCCTGGCCCTAACCCTAATCGTAACCTAAACCTAAAACCTAAAACTCACCCTGGCCCTAATCCTAACCCTAATCTTCATCTTAACCTAAACCTAAAACCTAATCGTAATCCCTGCCCTGAAAAAAAAAGATGTAAAGAACCCGACTTTGCATGGATTTACAGGATTGAGGTAATCAAGCATTGTTCCACAGTGAGACCAGGTCAACCAAAAACAGGAAATAATGGCTTAAACCCTATTAATCAAGGACAAGAGTGAATGACTGCAACATGGCCAAAGTTCAGTGGTCTCTTACGCAGTAGTCAGTGCTGAACCATCCACCCATTTCCAGACCCCCTCTGAGTCTCTGTCAGTCAGACCAATAAAAACCGAAGCATCTTTGCAGCTACTCAAGGAATCCACAAACTCCTGTTGAGGTGAAACAGAACAACAAGGACAGATTTTAGAAATATTCATTTTTTTTCCTCTGTTAAGAGTCCTTTTACTTGACAGAGCACAATGATTTATTTGATATAAGCTTGATTTGGTAAACAACTTCACTATATGATTTTAAACAGTTGTATATACACTTCTGGGCAAAACAAATGGCCCAAGCCCAAATGGCACAACATGGCAAACATAAAGCTTGTAATGGTTTAACAATAAATCATCCATTTAATAACGGTGGCACAGTGGGTAGCACTGTTGCCTTATGGGAGAAGGGCCTGGGTTTGGTTCCCTGGCCGGGCGACCAGTGTTCTTTCTGTGGGGAGTTTGCATGTTCTACTTGTGTCTGTGTGGGTTTCCCACAGTCCAAAGACATGCAGTCAGGCCAACTGGAGATGCTAAATTGCCCCTAGGTGTGAGTGTGCATGTCTGTGTGTCTGCCCTGTGATGGACTGGTGACCTGTCCAGGGTGTTCCCTACCATCCACCCATTGGCCGGTAGGATAGGCTCCGGCACCCCCCAAGACCCATTAAGATAGATAGTGTGTGTTTTACAGAAAGAAGAGTCTTCTCTTTTTCCTCTCAGCACTGATGGCTTCAAATAGTTGGAAAATATGGCTGAGTTCGTGTTTAATGTGAGACCAAAAATTCTCTCTAGGGTTTAAATCTGGACTCTGACCAGCCCAAAAAACATAAGTAAGAACAATTATATTTTGGACTTGGCCAATTTTTTTGTCCAGAAGTATATTTGTAATAATATTGTTATGTACATGTATTTACGCTAATATAAATTCAGTTTGTGGATTTGTAGTACATTACTTATTATTCATTATTAATTTGTTATGATGAATAATGATTAATTAATGTATTATGATTTTGTTTACCTGTTCTTCTCTGTTGTTGATGATCACCAGGTCTGCTCCTCTCCGTGTGCAGTCCTGTCTGCTCTCAGTCCAGCTCCTCTTCTCAGTGGAGATGAAATACAGACTAGAGTTGAAATACCTCCAACCCTCCTGGATTGCCTTTTCTAATGAATAGAATTTACGATGATATTAGCCACAGTCTATAACAGGCTAGTTTAAACTAAACAGGACATAGTAAATGCTGGTACTTCCAGAAACACAGCCTGGTTTCTTTTCTTTTTTCCTATGTTCAATATTGTCTATCAATTGTCAAATCTTATTTCTTATTCATATCGCTTGTGCTGTGTTACTGTTTTGCTGTTAAGCTTTGACCAGAGGAGGATAGGTCTCCCTTTTGTTTCTTGGTTCTGCTCAAGGATTCGAGTTTTTCCTTGCCACTGTTGGCCTTGGCTTGCAGGTTTGGGGGACCTGGACTGCCTGTGAAGCTGCTTTGTGATAACTGTTGTAAAAAGCACCATACAAATAAATCTTGGCTTGACTCTAAACACTACATATTCTGCTAAAAAAATGTACAAAGAAAAAAATATGACCTTTTACACCACACAGTTATCATTAACGCAATGCAGAAGTGACAGCGCATCTGTAGGCTGTCACCATGCATGGTGCGTAGAGCCCTGCAAATTACACAAGAGCCCTGCCTCCCCCTGGTGTCAAAGCTTTCCATTACAATTTTGATGAGAAAATAAAGAAGTATCCATCTGGTCATGGAAAAAGAAAAAAAGACCATGAGAGTGAAACGTGGGAACAGCAATCAGGTAAACTTGTGTCCACTGTCCAGTCCAGACAATATAAGGGCGTGATGGCACACTCCTCATAGGTGCACAATGTTTTAAAACAAGACCGTGTCTATCTAGTCTCTCAGTCAAGGTTTAGTTACAACTCAGGACTAATGGAAAATGGAAAGCAATGGATTGACATTGACTATTGATTAAATATTGGCTTAAAATGTTGATTAGCTGGGCATACTGGGCAATATGGAGGCACATCTCTCAGTAGATAATAATTAAGTAATTAAGGATTCAGCCAAGCCATAGTATACATAGTATTTTACATTTGAAAATCTATAAAAGGAAATCTAGGAGGGCCAGTTTGAAAGGGCTAATGCATCCTGAGGGAGGGTTGTAGTGAGAGCACTGGGGTGTCAGGTGTGACTGTGTGGCGATTGCAAATGATTAACATGGCTCACAGATCAGGTAGGAGAGCTCCTTTGCAGAATTTTCTTTAGGACCACTACTCAAAACATATAGTGCTGCCCTTTACAGATTAATATGCAAATTTAAACCAATGCAATTCACTAAAAATCTCCCTTACAGTGTAAATTGGAAGGTCGTAATCTGATGTGGGCTGTGCTGCTCAAACACAGCACCTCAGTGTCTCTCTTCAAGTCTGAGTAACTTATAGCAAGTGAAAGTTGACGCCACAAGCATGACCAAGTTAGCAATCTAGCTCATTTGTTTCTCTGCACGTCTGCCCATCTGCAGATTCTTTCATTTTTGTTTGTTTTTATTCTTTTGAATGAGAACTTAATTCATCATGGTTTAAATGTGTTTGCTTACCCAAATAGGAAAGTTTGGTGTAAGTGTTTTGTAACTGGTTTCTCTCTGCAGTAAGCTTCGCACACAGCAGTGTGACGGCGGTCATCAGGAGAACACACAGCAGCCCCAGACACACTGCAGCCAGCCTGTAGCATCTGCTCTTAGCTTTTTCATGTGCTGTAACAAGAGAGCAACAACACTGAAGCATCACAGTATGTGAGTAATTGTTGTTAGGGGTTCTATATAGAATAAATTATACAAACGTATCAGTGTAACACACTAACATGAACCTGCTGTTGGTATCACTGTTGTGCTGAGAACTGTCTGTCTAGCAGTTTTATCTCTTAACGATTCTAATTCATTTTAATAAGCTATGACAAATGAAATCAACATAGAAATACTTGATATTTGGATTACGTCTGTCATTCTGAATAATGCCTTCATATTCAGTTACACCCTCAGTGTAAATGACAAACCATCAGAGAATTTCTGTTTGCGTGTGTATTTGAGAGAAAAAGAGAGAAAGAGAGAACATATGCACCTGAACTCTGCTGTTTCTGGTTCTTTCTTCTTATGTGACACTCCACACGACCTCCTTTCATTTCTTCATACACGTTACAGCTGTTATTTGGATGAGGAATTTTCTCTGCAGCTCTTACTGATATTTTATTTAGGTCTTCTCTCATATCCATTCTGGCCTGCTGACTAGTCCTGATCTTGATATGAAAACCAGCTCTCATGTATCAGTAACACTTTTAAGTGGTACCTAATCTACAGCAGCTTCCAGGGTGACTGTCTGTTTGCGTGTGAATGCATGTCTGTGTGGGTGGTATTATTCATGAACTCTGGATAGGAAGTTGAGAATGAAGCAACTGAGATTTCCTTCCCTTGAAAAGTCCACTTCCCCTTTCTTACTCTGGTGTTTTTTGACTGTGGTTTTATGCTGTATTAGAGGAGACACGTCAGATAAGCCACAAGGCCTGAACCAGCGTCTCCTAATGCTGATCCTGAAGATCTACCACCCTGGAGAGTTCAGATCCAGCACAACTAACTCTAATATTCAGATGCCACTGAAGGCCTTTATAACCTGGATTAGGTGTGTTGGATTAGGACTGGAGCTGAACTCCGCAGAGTGGTAGATCGCCAGCACCAGGACTGGGCAGCCCTGATCTGATTAGTCTCTGAGTATATTTTAGCAGGTACATGGATAGAGTGCGAATTGTAGAATGACACTAGTACAATCATGCTAAATAATGCAGGCATGTGCTTTAGTCAACTGAATTTTGACATTCATCAGATTTTCTAGATAGGCTGCTATACTGCTACCCTTTGCATGTTTAACTAGATCAGGGAAGAGATAGCTAGCAACCACTGTCTAGCTAGTGAGCAAGATAGGCTGAGCAGCTAAAGTTATTGGATAGCCAGCAAAAGAACTCTACACAAGTATCTTAAACTACATCAACAGGTGACATTTAAGGGTGAGACATTGTAAAAAGAGAAGATAGTTCACTCGTGACTGTATTACACAAAGTCATGCTTTTCCACAAAAAACAGGGCCAGTCTGTTGTGGTGTCCTTTTCCTTCAGCCCACTCACAGCGCCCTTGCGAAAGCCAAACCACTTCCAATGTCAGTAGCTGTTGGGGAAACTATCCAGTTTGGGGTAGCATCGCCCTGGACCCTTTCTGAAATCATGGTTTCCACTTGTGAGTCTTGTTTGTTCCAGAAGAAAAAAAATCCTGCTGAAAACATTAATAGAACATTGCGTAATGTTCTCTGAACATTTTTAGAACAAAAAATTCCTAGCTGGTTCATGTTCCTAATATAAGGTCCTTTAACTCTGGTCATGGAAGGCCGGTGTCCAGCACAGTTTGGTTATTTTACTGCTCAAACACACCTGATTTAGCTCATCTGAATGAAGTGTTGGGAAAATTTGTGTGGATTTGAACAACGTGCACACACACACATTGTCACGACTCCCTTCGGCTCTGAGGTCTCTTTGGACTCCATCTCCCAGAACACCCTGGGGATCACATGACTCCTGCCTCACTCTCACGCTCCAATCAGCGCTCTAGCTCTCCAGGCTTGTAGGATAGGTTCTCTGTGAGGTATTGCTTCTGTCTATAGAGCTACTGAGTGTTCATATCTGTTTGTTATTCTGGTTCTGACTTTTTGCCTGACCCTTTTTCGGATTGTTTGCCTGTATATTTGTGCTTCTGTGTTTTTTGGCTTTTTTGGATCTGACCTATGCTTGTTTATTGACTTTGATTTTGGATTGTGTTTTCATCATTAAAGCCTCTCATTCTACTTTTACCCGCAAGCGTCTGCTTCCTTCTGTCTTGTTACACACATATGTGAACCTATTAAAGATTCAGTGATGTCCAAGTCCGCATTTCCTCGTGTCTCACTTTTAAATATTTCATAAATATGAAGTCTCACTTTCATATCTGTACAGATAGCTGCTCAGCAACATTTTCAAGTGTACCCATGCTTCATGTATAAGACCCACTGGTCATGCATTTTGATTATGTCTTGGATTACTCTACCTGCCTGAGCGCTTATTTTTTGTGAAATAACCCTTTTGAAATAACAATAAAGCATCTATTGTGCCGGAACTGCTACACGAAACTGGATGTTTGTGGTTTCGGTCTCGGTTTTAGAATCGTCACACCCCTAAAATCTAAGCTCAGATTTCACTATAAAATCTCCTAAATCTACTATTCTGTGACAGTAAGGACCACAACTCTGAAACTATTTTTTAGTGTTTAAATATATTTCTAATATTTTGGCCACTTCTTAAATTAAAACCACTACAACCACTGACCATATAAGCCAAGTGGAGCACTGTAGTGTTTCTACAGACAGAGATGCAGTAATTCAGTGTGTTAGTCTTAGAGATTTGAGGTGTTTTCTTGATTACTGGTGGAAAACTATGAGAGTGCCGATGCTGCAGGAGGCCATGAAATCAACACAGAGACGGAGGACCAACACAAAGAGGACATTACAAAAACAACAAACAGGTAGAAACAGGTAGACTCCCTTTTATACGCATACACACAGTGTTAAATGTATGCACATATTTTTCTCTCTCTCTCTCTCTCTCTCTCTCTCTCTCCTGGTCTCTCCCTCCACATGTGTACCAGCTCTGCAATCAGTCATGTGAGGAGGACCTCTAATCAATCAGAGGCCTGGCTGATGTAGTTGGGGGGAGGAGCCTAGGTTTTAAAAGAGGCCTTCAAGATGGCTGAAGAGAGAGGACTGATCATGTGTGCTGTGTTTTAGTTACTGTTTTTAGTAACTGTTTGTGTTGGGAGTGTGCTTTGTTTTAGGTATTTTACCGGTGCACACTTAGATGTCTACTCTGTTTAGCTCCCTAGGTCAGAGGACAGGTATGGCTATACTTTTGGTTACTGGCCAGGGAAGTGTAAAGTAGTTAGCTTTTGTTTTCTTTCTTTTGGGTTAGCTAAGTACTTCCTGTTTCAGAGTAGGTAAGCGTGGTAAGTTTTTGTTTTGTTTTCTTCTTTAGTGCCATCCAGTTTGACTCTTCTAGTGTGGTACTAGGCATCATAGCACACCACTTTTATTGTGGTTGGTTTTAATAAAATGGCTTCAAAAGCTCCATTCATCTGTTCCTCAAGCTTTTAATCCATCATCACCAGTTCAGTATTTTAATGACACATGTTACTGATTCCACAGCATTCTAGACAAAACTTGGGGTCGCAACATTTGGGGGCTCATCCAGGACATAGTATTAATCTGTCAAGCAGCTTTATTCCAGTGCAGGTAACAGTATGTCTTGGTATTGTACTGTCTGGAACAGGTACTGAGTTTCCAGTTTATTAGGTAGTGTTACACTGCATCTACAGTCATTGGCCATGTTATCAGAAACAACAACCATATAGGTGTGCTTGTTTACATTTGCTGACTGTAGCCCATCTTTTGCTGCACAATTTTTCAGACCCCTCTGCTTGTCCATTAAAAGAAAGAGACCTGTCTATCTATCTTTCTGTACATCTATTTATATGTCTGTGTATATCTATCTATCTATCTATCGATCGATTGATTATACCTGTATATTTGTTTGTCTATATCAACAGTTGAATTTACTGTTTCTTATTTCAGTAAAAAGACTTCCAAAAGAATGTAGCTGCATTTTATTACTTTTGAGTGGGGTGGCTATGTCTGAGATGGTTATAATTTCTACACTGTTCATCCAGTTTAAACACACTTAAAGCTGAAAGTCCGCATTTTGAGCTCATATTCATTAGTTATTTAACTCCAATATGCTGTGGTAGACATCTGAAATAACAACTTCATCAATGTTCAAATATTTATAGACCTGACTGTATTACAGAGTTTCACAGGTAAATGTAGCTCAGAGTTCACCTCCAGAATATAAACTGTGCACCTGTGGAGTAGTGATGTGTAGTTTGTGAACTAGACCCCCATCTTGGATGTCCTTGGAACATTCTAGCTCTGCCCCTAATTTTCTCCAAATCATCTGCCTGTTGTGATGGTGTGTTTCTGGTTTTGTTTTCATGTAATTCTTAGATTCATCCAGTGAAGCTTATCAACATCAGACTTCTCTGCTTTTTTAGTTTGTTTTTTTAATAACAGACATAATGCAATTGCATTAAATAAAGGATAGACTTTAGGTGTGGGCTGGAGATTGAGGAACCAGCCTTGTGACTGGAAGGTTGCCAGTTCGATCCCCTGAGCAGACAGGACTGAGGTGCCCTTGAGCAAGGCACCTAACTCCCAACTGCTCCCTGGGTGCCATGGATAGGGCTGTCCACTGCTCTGGGCAAGTGTGCTCACTGCCCCCTAGTGTGTGTGTTCACTAGTGTGTATGTGGGTGTTTCACTACACCGATGGATTAAATGAGGCGGTGGATTTCCCTGTTGTGGGATTAATTAACGATAACTTATACATACTTACATCACTACTGCACAGCTGTGTCTTAAGCAACACTGATGGTCTGTCTACCCTGAGACAATTTTGAGTCCAAAACAGAACCAGTAATATTGCCACAGCGGACCTTCAATCATAGTTAACAAAATTTTTATTTTCTTTTTTATTGCATGCAGTACATTGTTTCTTCTATTCGTTCTCTACGATGTAACTTGAGACTTTCTACTTGTTGTTCATTTTCTGTACATTCTTTTTGAACACTGCCCCCAGTGCATACTTTCATTTTATGTCCAAGTATTGTGATGGCTGGCACTTGCTCCCACTCACAGAGAGGGCTCTAGAGACATGGTATGCAGAGCTGCAGAGGAAGACAGAGTCTGGTGAAAGACCACAATGGTCGAGACAGTGTGACGGTTCGATGGCGGAAGCAGTGCGGTGAGGTTTCATGGTGGAGAGGCCATCAAGAGAAAAGCCAGTGACATCATTATAGATAAAAGAAAGGTGCCAAACTAAATATAAAAATAGAGCATGGGGTCTGTGGAGTAGGGGGCGCGGTCGAGCATCACATGCAGGACTGAGAGTCAGTCACGGTGAACCAGCAGGCTAAGTAGCTGATGCGCTTCACCTGTTTGTCGTCTCTCCCAGCCTATTTACAGCAGAGTCTCTTCGCAGTAGGGAGGAAAGCACAGAGAGAGGAGGAGACCAGTAGAGGCACAGGAAGAAAACCTAAAGACTGAAAAGTCCCAGCCAAGAATTTGAGTTATTACAGCTGAAAAGCGGAACTGTTTTTGTTCTCTTTGTTAGTCTGTCAAAATAAAAGGAAGAAAGTCTCTGCACCCTGCTTCCCCTCTTCTCATTCTGAGACGACTTAACAATGTCACAGG